TTTCAATTTTGAGAGTTTATTGTATATGAGTTTATTTAAATTTCAGTTTTCAATATTTTGCTGCTCATATATGGACATAAAAGTAATTTTTGTAGGTTGACCTTGCATCCTACAAACTTGCTAAACTCACTGGGAACTATGTAGACAATCACGTCATCTGTATAGGGGCAATTGTATTTCTTGCCTTCTATTACATATGGCTTTTTGTTTGTTTTGTTGTTTGTCTTATTGCACTGGCCAGGATTTCCAGAATAATGTTGAATAACAGTGCTGAGAATGTATTATTTGCCTTGAGTGAGAATAATAAAAAGAGTGGTGAAAATGAGTATCTTTGCCTTGTTGCTAGTTTTGAAAGCAAAGAATTCACACTTGCATGAGTTATCTATGGGTTTTTGTTGTTGTTGTTGTTGTTGTTATAGATGTCCTTAATTATGTTAAGGAACTTCCTATCTTTCTAGTTAACTGAGAATTTTTATTATGAATGAATACTGAATTTTGTCGAATACCTCTTGTGCTTTAATTGATATGATCATGTGGTTTTTTTGGTGTTTTGTTTTTTGAGACAGTGTTTCACCGTGTTTGCCAGGCTGGTCTTGAACTCCTGACCTTGTGATCTGCCCACCTCGGCCTCCCGAAGTGCTGGGATTACAGGCATGAGCCACCATGCCCAGCCTGATCATGCAGTTTTCTTTAGTCTGTAATTACGATGGAATATATTGACTGATTTTCAAATATTGAACCAGTTTTATGTTTCTGGTGTCAACCACAGTTTGTCATGGTGTACTATTCTTGTTATAAATCACTGGACTCAATGTGCCCATGCTTTGTTGAGGATTTTAAAGTCCCATTTGTTGTTTAAGCCAATTTGAGTTGTATTTCTGTCACTTAAGATTTTAGGAATCCTAAATAGTATTTATAGGTCCAGGCAAGCAGTGTGACAGTTTAGAAGGAAGTACAATGATTTGTCAATGTTATAATGAGGGAAGATTGCACAGAAGCATGTCAGGTCTCTCTTATTTCACAAGTAGTAAAAATAGAAATTATATAATTATATTATCACAGAGGTTCTCATAATTGTTCCAGTACACATTCCTAGACTTAGAACAGTAAATTGTTCTGTCAAATTGAAATCGCTTTTTTTTGATTGCATATGTAGTATGTGCAACTTACAAATACACAAATATCATATATCATATAATTCCATTTATAGAAGATATCCAGAACTGGCAAATCCATAGGATAGAAAGCAGAATGAGGGTTGCCAAGGGTTAGGGAAGGGGACAAAGAGAAGTGAATGCCTAATGGGTATAGAGTTTTTTTCTGTGGGTGATGAAAATCTTCTGAAATTGAATACCACTGAGGGTTGCACAATGTTGTGAATACACTAAAGGCCACTGAGTTGTACGTTTTTGTGGGGGAGGGACAGGGTCTCACTCTGTTGGCTATGGTGGTGTACACTGGCGCAATCACAGCTCACTGGAGGCTCGACCTCCTGGGATGAATTGATCCTCCTACTTCAGTCTTCCCAGTAGCTGGGACTATAGGTGTGCAGCACCAAGCCTGGCTAATTTTTATTTTTGTTTGTTTGTTTTTGTAGAGACAAATACTACCGGCAAACACCATTAAGTCTTAATTATTTTACTCTAAAATACATATTGCCCCCAAATTTAAAGTTAGAATGGGTTTTATTGTTGTTGTTTTACAAACATTGACTTGAGAAGTTGAAAGCCCAGTCACAAATGTGGTTTGCCTATACATGAAAACAAACTAAGGGTAAAAGGTAAATGGGTCTTGTATTTATTTCCTAGGGCTGATGTAACAAAGTACATGCACTTAAATGACTTAAAACAACAGGAATTCGATGTCTCACAATGCTGGATGCTAGGAGTTTAAAATCAAGATGTCGTCAGGGTTACACTCCCTCTGAAACCTGTGCGGAAGTCTTTGCCTCTTCCTGGCTTTTGGTGTTTGCCGGTAGTATTTGGTGTTCCTTGGCTTGTAGAGGCACCACTCCAAGCACATGGCTGTCTTCTTCCTGTGTCTTCACATCATCTTTCCTGTGTGCTTGTCTGTGTCTGTGTCCAAATTTCTCTTTTCTATAAAGACACCAGTCATATTCAATTAGGACCCAAACTAAGGACCTCATTTTAACTAGATTACCTCTGGAATGACCGTATTTCCAAATAAGGTCATGTCCTGAGCTTGTAAGGGTTAGTTATCTTCTTTCAACATAACTTCACAACAATTCAACCCTTAACAGGAACTACTCACTTTTAACAGTAGATGAAGTAGATTGTTTGTAAAGAAGGCCACAACATTCCTCCTACCTTTCTCTGCATGCCCTTTTGCTTCCTGACTTTTCTGTTTCTCTCATCAAGAACTGGAGTCCATTTCCACCTCCTCTTGAATCTGCCCTGGTCTTGTCTTGCTTTGACTAGTCAAATGAAATAGAAGTAATTTCATACAACTATTAATAGTCTGGGGCTAAACTTCAGCCTGGGGTCCTAGAACAGTCACCAGTCAATACCGAATCTGATGTTAAATTTCAGCATGTGGCCTCCTAGGATGGTGGTAATTCACTCTTCAAACCCATGTGAGATTTTCCCCGATCCTGAAGCTGTTTCTTTCCATTCCACATTTTGGTGCCTTCTCAAGCCATGATGCTGCCTTTTCACAGCTGTGAAAGCAAACCAGCCTGGGTTCAGAATCTCAGCTCTGCTGCCCACTAGCTGAGGATCCATCATTGTACTCTATGTGAGCATATTTCCTTGTCTATTAAATGGGGTAAATAATTCTCACAGCTGGCAGTATTGTAAGGACTCCATGAGAGAGCAGAGCATCGATTTAGGAAGGTATGCTCCCAGCATGACTGAGGGCTTGCCCCTTTTGTTCCCAGTGTGTCCCTCGAAAACAGTAGGTGCTCAATAGATTTTCTGAATGAGCAAACGGTTTGTGGCATGAATTCAGCACAGTGCCTGGTAGACAGTTAAGCATTCCACAAAGGACAGCTTTTACTGTCCATTTCACAGAGGAGGAAAACTCACCTGAGGAAGTTGACATAAGTGTTCCATGAGTTTTTCCCATTTTATCACTGACATTAAGAAGGTAGTCAGACATGCTGAATTCTAACCTGTCTCCCCCTGAGGCGCAAATATCCCTCAATACAACACTTCCAAGAAAAATGGCTCTCGCAATCTTTTATAATGAAGTCAGGATTCCAACAAAACCAGGAAGGACCAAATTCCAAAGCAAACAAACTCGCCTCATTCCCCACCCCGTTCTGCTAAAGATAGACCTTGGGCCCTCCCCGGGAACTTCCTGGCTTTTATTAGTTTGTAATCCCAAATGTAACTTTTCAAAGGTTTTTCTTTTGGAGATGTGGGTGTGAAACTGCTTCCCTAATCACATCTTGCGGGAGGATCTCGGACCATCTGTATATTATTTGAAAACCTAGCATCCGGTTGTGATGTTTGGGTGGGTGGAGGACCCTGCCGTGTTGGGATGAAACAGCAGGGACACGTTTAAAACACATAAAGAGCCGGGCGCAGTGGCTCATGCATGTAATCCCAGCACTTTGGGAGGTCAAGGCGGGCGAATTACAAGGTCAGGAGTCCGAGACCAGCCTGGCCAATATGGTGAAACCTCCGTCTCTACTTAAAAAAAAAAAAATAATAATAATAATCAGCGGGCGTGGTGGCGGGTTCCTGTAGTCTCAGCTACTTGGGAGGCTGAGGCAGGAGAATCGCCTGAACCCGGGAGGCGGAGATTGCAGTTAGCCGAGATCGCCCCCACTGCACTCCAGCCTGGGCGATAGAGCAAGACTCCGACTCAAAAACAAACAAGCAAAAAAACACGTCAAGATCGCTTTTAAACACAGGCAGAAAAATTCGGCAAAAAATTTCAAATGGCTAATTACCTTGGCTCAGTTACACATTTAATCAAAAGCCCGCCTCCCCCACTTTCAGCTCCAGCGTAAGAAGGGAAAATAGGGCGCTTAGAAGTCTAAGCGATAACGATCTTCTTACCGAGAGCCAAGGGACAAAACTCATTACAGATAAGCCCAGTCCTCCCATTTCCCCCGGACGCCTCTCCCCGACTGGTAAAGAAGCAGCCGTCCCCGGGTAGCTGCCAGGAAATCAGTCCTGCCCCGCGGCGCTGCTTTCACCCTGCAGGGGGTAAGAGGCGCACTTCCTGCGTCCTCCCCACCGCCAAGCCCGGGTGCGGGAACCTTCTCCAGAGAAGCTGCGAGTTGGAGAAACTCCGCCACCCATCTATCGTGGCGCCGGGAAGGGGGATGTGGGGCTCGAAGTGCTGGATTTCGCAAGCCTGGGATCAATATTTCTCCCCTTCCCCCCTTTCCCCAGCTGTGGACTGGGCCAATGAAAGCCCGAAAAGAAAAAAAAAAAAAAAATTAAATCTCAATGTAGCAGGAGTGCAAAGGCCGCTCGGCTTTGTTTCCCGGCGGGGGAATGCGCGGGGTTGGGGGCGCGAACGGGGGCCGCGGACGGTGAGCTCCACCGCAGCACTGCCAGGGCGGTGAAGCCGAACAGGCAACTCCATCGTTTTAAAAAGGCAGCTGGCCGCCCTCCCGCTTTCCCCCCGCCCGGGCGAGGGGCCCCTCAAGTCCGGGATCCGCGAGCTACGCGGACGGGGGATCTGGCCAAATCGAGCACCGTGCGGCGTCTGTAAGAGCTCGAACAACCGGAATCCGGCAAAAGATACGCCGGCCCCAGAAGGCAGCCTCCCTCCTCTCTCCGAGCACCCGCTACAGTCGCCCCCAGCCCCCAAACTGTCCCAGTAGAGCCCCTGGTTCCGCGCGGAGGGAGCGGAGCGTAGGAACTGATGGAAGGCGGGGGCCGAGCGCGGCTGCTTTAAGAACGCGGAGCGCGCGCGCCCGCCGCCAGCTGGCCCGGGCTGCGCGCCCCCGCCGCCACCGCGCGCCCCCTGCTTGCTCGCTCGTTCGCTCGCCGGCTTTAAAGTCTCTGCCAGGATCCATGCTCACATGTTACTTCCTGTATGGAGGCATGGCCAGTTTCCAGCCCCGCGCTCCTCGTTCCTCCCCAGCCTGCGCCGGAGCCACAACTTTCAGGAGCATGGACTGAAGGCGCCCTCGCCCCAGCGCCCCTCTGAGATCCTTTGTGTTTTCCTCCGTTTCCTCCGGCCGTTTCTATTTTGGGGGGCTCTCCGCTCCCCCCGCCTCTCCCCTCCCCTTCCCCTCTCGCAAACATGCCTCCTTCCTTCCCGGGGCCCTGGAAAGAGCTGCCTGCCTGAAGCCCGGAGACGCCGCGCCGCGCTCAGCCCCGCCGCCGCCCGCCGGCTCTCGGGCTGTGCTGCGCTGCCGACTCAAGTTGGGGATCCTCGGCTGCTCACCGCTGCCGCCGCCTGCGGTCCCTGCCTGCCCCGGGTCCCGGGCATCGCCGCCGGCCGCCGACTCCGCGCCCTGCCCGCTCGGCTTGCTCATTTTTGAACGGAAAGCGGCCCTTCTCCGCCGAGAGGATCGTCCCCAGCGTGGCTCCGCGTTCCCGGTCACTTTTTGAGATTTTCCGGGGGGCGCTCGGCGGCTTCCCGGATTCCAAGGGGACTCGGGCCGCCGAGCGTGGGGCGCTCGTGGAGCTGGCGAGCCGGGGAAGCGCCCCTGCTTAGCGGAGGCTCTCACGGAGGCAAGAACTTATTCAACAAGTTTACCCCCCTGGTTTCCTCTTTTCGATGTGCGTTTTCGGACATGCGGAGGTTACTGGAACCGTGTTGGTGGATTTTGTTCCTGAAAATCACCAGTTCTGTGCTCCATTATGTCGTGTGCTTCCCCGGTGAGTGCCGGCCGCCGAGGGGACGCGGCCCCGGCCGGCGCGCGTTGGGGATGCGGAGTTGTCGACTGGGCGCGGAGCTCCGGCGCCCGTCCGGGAGACCCTGGAGGGGGTGGAGTGGGGCTCGCTGTCTGGGGAGGAGGGGAGGATGTGCTCCGCGGGCTTGGGCGATGTTTAGGGAGGCTGGTGGTCGAGGAAGGTGGAGGCAGGGGCCGGCCAGGGAGGGACTGAAGGACGCGGGGGTCTGCTTCCGCTTCTGTTTGGGGGGCCTGGGGAACTGGAATCGGGAGAAAGGGGGACTTGCTTTGCTGATTCGCCGCCGATTGGGAGAACTCGAGTTGTGGGGCGGTTAGCGAGACTGAGGCCATGGAAAGGATGCTTTCGTGGGATTGGGGGGCCCGGGTGACCCCTTCGCTCCGGCGGGTATTGACGGAGCTTGCGGTGGGGTGGGAGGGTGCTGTTCTCCAGCCCTTTGGGAGGGCTAGGTTTCGGGGAATGGAAGTCGGAGGCTGGCTGCGGAGGACTGAGGATGTGGGGAGCAGCCTGCGTTCTGGGGTCGGGGGTGCCCTCCCTCTCTATTGGGGCGATTGGGGCAGGGGCGCGGGCAGCCCTTCTGTGCCGGCTTGAGGCATCCTCTTTGGGCGCAGTGAGAGGGCAGAGCGCAGGCGGTTTGGGAGAGATCTCGTGTCATCCCCAGCCCCCGGCCCTTGGTCCCTTCTCTCCGCTGCTCTGCTAGAATGGATTGCCGGGGTCCGGGCGCTGGCGCGCGGGGGGGCGGGCGGGTCGGCTGCCGGGTTGCTGTTCGCGCCGGGGCGGATTTTTTCCTGTCTCGCGCTCCCTGCCTACCTTCGTCTTTGCCCTTTTGCAGGCTGTTCGCGGCTAGCAGACCCAGATCCTCTCTTTTCTGGCCGGGTTAAGACGAGAACAATATTGGCCATTGAAAACTACAATAAATCGTAACGGTGTACGGCTCGGCCACCCTCCGCTTCCAGCCCTCAGCTGGCAGGCCCCCCTCCTCCCTCCCCTGGGGAGGGCAGAGGCCAGCTGCCTCCCTCTCCTCTCTTGCAGGTCCCCCGGGCTGCAGCCCGGAGCTCCCTCGTAGCTGTCCTGCTCCCTCCCTGGGGGTGGAGGCCAAGTCCTGCTCTAGCCAGGGGAAGAGCTGTTAGAAAGGGGGCGATTCGCTTTTCATCCCTTGCTCCCCTAAGGACAGAGAATTCCCGGTTTTTCTGCCCTCTCATCTTCCAGCTCCTGGATACCCGGAGGTGGAGGTTATCTGAATCAAGAAAAAGAGGAAAGTGCCCCGAGGTTTCCGCTCTGGTTACAGCCGCCAGTCTCCGGGCGGCGGGAGCGCCCTTTTTTGGTGCAGCGGGTTCCCCAGTCCCGTCGTGCGCCCCGGATGAGGGCGCGGGCACCCTCGCCGCCCTCGAGGATCCCTCTCGGGGGACTGGCAGCGAATGCCCCTTTTGCACATTCGGGGATGGCCTCGAGGGGCAGAAAGGCAAAGCACCGTCTTGTCTTCTGCACCCCATTTTCTCTCTGCGCATCCTCCTGCTCGCGGAGCGGCACGAAGCTCCTGCCACAGCCTAGAAGCCCAGCTCAGAGGCCGAGCGAGGACGTGCGTCCACACTCACCCTGGGGCCTGGGGTTTGCCCACTGGAGTCCTGCCTCTACGGTTGTGCGGGCCATGGGGGCATCTCTCCTTAGAAACAGCTGCCTTCATTCAGTTAAAGACCACTGCTCAGTATTTGGGTTAATTATTTCCCCCTTCTAGTCTCCTTTGCTATGCCACGGACTTGCCAGCTGAGCGGGCTCAGGTGCACACTGGGGTCGAGCTTTGTGAGGGCCATGCCTTGATGGGTGCAGTGGGAGGCCGTGGAGGGCAACCTTTTAAATTAGAGGAATTTCCAGTTCCACTTATGTCCTTTTTGTGCTCGGGGATGCAGTCAGTGGGCTGACCGTGATTTTCTTTTTCCTGGTGTTTGAGGAAGCTTGAGATCCAAAATTGGACTTGCCAGGGAGCCTGCCTTCGTGGGGCTTGGACCATTTTCGTCTTCTCATTTTCTTTTGGCGCCCACGCTGCGAGGTAAATAGCCGCTTTCCTGGTCCGGGAGCCGAGGGGTGTCGGAAAGGGAAAGGGCAGTGGTGGGAGGCGCAGGGAAGAAGGCGGTTTGGTTTGGAAAAATGCAGCCGGAGAGGGTGCAGCAGCCTTTGGAGCAAGGCAAAGTTAAAATATCAGAGCTCTGGGAGACGCTTGCTTTCCGTTTTCCGAGGTTGCCGCGACGCCGCTGGACCTCAGGGGGCGCCCCCGAGCCACTGGTGGGGCTCCTGCCACCTCCACACTGGTCGGCCTCGGCCACCTCCACGCCGCGGGAATGGGGCGCGCGTTCCCGGGTTCCGAGACTGGGGGCTGCAGACGCGCCTTGGCGCGAGGAGGCGGCCTAGGCCTGAGGATGCTGCTCCTGGCCTTCCCGAAACCGGGTAGGGGCTGGAGTTCGCCTTGGGACCCCCACTTCTTGCCTGCCGTAACCTCAGAAGAGCTTCTCTGTTTGACACGAGGGATAAAAATGCTTCTGTTTTGGAGTAGGGTCCTCTTTGTGAGGTCTTAGCCAAAATCCTTTGTTACTTAGTATTTTTGTTTCCTCTCAGAATCGCGTAACTCTTCAGTTGCATTTTCAGTTGCATTGAGCTCTCAGCTCCTGTTCCGGATACTGGGTAGCTGTAGTTGGGGCAGGGCGTTGGAATCACAGCCCTGGCATGGGCTTTTTCCCAGTGGATCAGAAACAGTGGCTTTTAGTCTTTCAACAGCAGTGTGGCAGGTTTGGGATCAATTCAGGGTTAATAATGCCTCAAGTGTTGCTTTCCAAGTGCAAAGCCAAGATACTAGGCATATTAGGTTCTTACACATGTTTAAAAAGTACTACAGAAACATTTACAAAAATAGCAAAATATAATGGATCCCCCACCCAACTTCAAAACTCGCAGCTGAATCTTCCCTCATCTCTTCCTCCCCAACACATTATTATTGTAAAGCAGATCCTACACATAGTTCAAACTGATACATACATACACACACACACACACACACACACACACACACACACACATATATATGTATATATATATATGTCCAATCACTGGGAATTTAATGGCCTCAGACCCAATATAAATTATGTTACTTGAGAGGGTTAACCTTTTATCTGTTTCACATTCTCAAGCTATTCAGCAGATTTTTTTTTAAAAATTGATTTTTGTCTTCCAGCCCTCAGAGTGAAACTCTGGTTTTGTTATGTTTTGTATTGTAATTACATCTAGGATGATGCCATTGGAAACACTTGAGATGGATAATAAGTTCACCTGTGTGCCTTGGATGTGTCAGAATTGGAGGCTCCATGATTGATGTCGGGAGAATCATGAATCTCCCTCTGAGCGGTCTTTGCTTTTATTTTGCATGTTCGGGCTTTAGTCCTGATGGGCATCCCTTACGGCCTTTTTTGGAAAACACACAAGTAATATTTGGAAGTCAGCAATCTTTCTCTTTACAGGGTGTGAGATCATACAGGTCCCCCCGCCCCGCTCACGTATCATGTTTGAAAATGAAGAATCTTTATTCAGTCTCTAAACTGGGTCCCTTTGACACAGTTATGGAATAAAAATCTTTGATGTTTCCTTCTAACACGGTGTTCACATTCGAGGGTTGATGGACTTAGAACACTAATAAAGACAGGCATAAACAGGGCCTTTTGGAAATAGAGGAAGTTGTTGGTGTTACTGGAAGAAGAGAGGTCATAGGAAAGGTTGGCCTCTGTGGGAAAAGTGAGTATCCCATAGTAAAGCTGTGAGCTTCTTCCCTTAATTATGGACCTGTTTTCACTGAATAAAAGATTATGTTGTTGTTTACTTGAAGCAATCCAGGGAATGCTGATGATTTAATGCAGCAAAGCAAACAAGCTCTTTCAGATTTGCCTTTCTATTCTAAGAAGCTCCAGTTAACAGAGTAGAATCAGTTGCGTACTTGAATGCCGATTGCAAGTAACTTTCTTTGTAATCAGGATAGATCCTTTAAAATGCCCTAGAGTAATTTGGGAGCCTCTCCTACCCCCTTGCCTCCCTACCTTTTTCTGGAGACTTCTTTTCTTTTTTTGAGATGGAATCTCCTGCCTCAGAGCCTCCCGAGTAGCTGGGCATACAGACACGTGCCACCATGCCTGGCTAATTTTTTAATTTTGTAGAGATGGGGTTTCACCGTGTTGGCCAGGCTGGTCTTAAACTCTTGACTTCAGATGATCCACCTGTCTCAGCCTCCCAAAGTGCTGGGATTACAGGCGTGAGCCACTGTGTCCAGTCCCTGGAAACTTTTTTTTTTTTTTTTTTTTGGAGACGGAGTCTCTCTCTGTTGACAGATGCCAAGCTGGAGGGCAGTGGCACAATCTCAGCTCACTGCAACCTCTGCCTCTCGGGTTCAAGCAGTTCCCCTGCCTCAGCCTCCCGAGTAGCTGGGACTACAGGTGCACACTACCACACCCAGCTAAATTTTTTTGTATTTTTAGTAGAGATGGAGTTCATCATGTTGGCCAGGATGGTCTCGATCTCTTGACCTCGTGATCCGTCCGCCTCGGCCTCCCAAAGTGCTGGGATTATAGGCTTGAGCCACCTGGCGCCCAGCCCCTGGAAACTTCTTAACCAAAGAGACAGTCTGGGTACTTAAATTAGCCTTATGTGGGTGAAGAAGGCAAATTAAGCATTGCTACTGGGCTGTTGCTTTAGCGCTTGGCTTTTTACAGGGAAACGCTGTTTGTTCTTTTAAAATCTGGATTTCCACTCAGCATGTGGGACAGTGAAATGCCATTTCTAGGCAGGATGAAGATGACAGTGTGTGTACAATTCTCAATTAAGAGATTTAAACATTTGTAATTAACACTGTCATCCTGGGTTACATTTCATGTGGTCACATTCCATAACCCAGAGCTTAGGGGAAAAATTTAGGGCATCCGAAGTTCCTACTT